GTTTGCTTGTGCTGTAGGGAGAACGATCCATGTTTCTACCAGTACCTGTTGGGAGAAAGAAGCAACTTTGCTCTCTCCCTAGAAACAGAAAGGCCAGAAGATTTGGAAGTCACTGTGGGACAAAATTTTTTATTATTTATTTGATTCAGTTATACCCCGTCTTTCTCTCCAACGGGGACCCAACATGAATTACACATAATCCCCTCCTGGCTGCTGCTGCTCAGAAATCATTTTAATACCCATGTTTGGATTTATTGCTCATGAACCAATTTCCCAGGGATGGGAAGGATTACTTTCTTCTTCCTCTTCCTCCTCCAGGGCCCGGTGTCCTTCGAAGAGGTGGCCGTGTATTGCCCCCGGGGGGAGTGGGCCCTGCTGAGCCCGGCCCAGAGAGCTCTCTACAAGGAGGTCATGCTGGAGAATTTTGGGAACGTGGCCGCTCTGGGTAAGGAGGATCCTTTTCTCCTCAGTGCTGTGGAGTGTGGCGATGAGTCTTCTGTGTTCCTAGTTAGAAGGTCGCTGTTGAGGAGGGGTGTGTTCAGGCCCTTTGGTGAAGTAATGCCTGTCCAAAGTCCCCAGCCCAGCCCAGGCAAAGGACTTTTGGGTGGAAGGGCTGTAGCATAACAAAATTCCAAAAACCCTAGCGTGAGGCTGCCCTCACGCTAGTCTAGTAGCCTACCCACCACGCAGTGTTCCCTCTAAGCTGAGTTAGTGTGAGCTAGCTCATAGTTTTTTAGCCTCCAGCTCACACATTTTTGTCTCAGCCCAGGAAGGAGGGCTCCAGAGCAAACTAATTTATGCAGTACCCAAATCGGTCACTCACAACTTTAACGCCAGTAGCTCACAAAGTAGAATTTTTGCTCACCAGACTCCACAGCTTAGAGGGAGCATTGCCCACCAGCCATTTTTATCTATCCCAACAGCTTAGGATCAAAAGGGCCAAGTCTCCCAGCATTTCAGGGAAATCAACAAGAAAGTCAGCCCCTGCAGGGTGGGCCTGCAGATCGAGTTTCCCAGAGAAAAGACAGTTACCTGGTGGTTGGTCACTGGGTCAAAACACTGGAATTAGGTTTGTCGTCTGTTCAAGTAAAAGTAAAATTTAATTATTTTATTGAGGTGCAGAGATATTTTGAAAAGAACAAGACTATTTATGTCGGTTCAATTTCTATCCCCCCCTCCTGCAAGAGATTAAAACTATAAATTTAACCCTTAATCGATGGCGATCAAACTGCATCACAACTATTACGATGGTGCCCTGGCGTTAGAGAATTAAAGGCAGAAAGGGCTAGATCCCGTATGGGACTGCAGATGGTAAGTATCCTACCTTGGGTAAACCAAGGCAGTTATCGTTCTGTGTCCTCAAAGATTAAAGACCATGGTACAGATGGTAATAAGGAGGTAACAGGACGGTAAGAGGAGAGGCCAGATGATATTCGACGTCCACTGTCTCACCCAAAAGCTTGGTGCAAGAGCTCTGCCTTACAGGCCCTGTGGAACTGTAAAAGACCCTCTGTGAGGGAAAACAAGAAATCTAGCTAACATCGTAGGGATTAACACCGTAGGAAACCTAGGCATTGAAATGCTGGCTAACACAGTGACACAACGATTCCAAGTTCCCAGAGGTTAACTCCATCTCAGGCTGAAGGTTCTCCGCATCAAACGGCTCTCTCTCTCTCCAGAGTTAGCCAGGGCCGGCAAGTTCTTTGGCCCTCTCGAGCCAGCAGTCAAGATGGCTGCCAGCAAGTCTCAACAAACTGAAAACCTGTCTTTATGGGTAAGGGTCCAATATGGTTCTGGGCCTGGAGAACCAATGAAAACCCTTAGAGGTGGTGTAACACTGTGTTGCCGGGCAAAAGACCTATAGGGTGACTTGACGGGATGAAAGGAAACGAAACTTACCGCAGATTTCCCTCAGCGCCTTTCCCACAGGTGAAACCCCTAGACCTCAATTGGTTGGAATGTGTTAACTGGAAGTTGGTGCCAGGCACTCACTCCTCCGTACAGCTGCATGTTATCTAGGAATAACAAGCGTTTGCTTAGCCGTGTCTCTTCTATCGCTGGGAACTCTTTCTAGGCCGCGTTTGAGGCCTGAACCAAAGTTCTTAAAATGACCTAAGTTTCTAGGGAGCCACTGTCTTCACAGTGCCATCCTGTCTTACACACCTGGCGAGGGTTCGGGGCACTCCGTGCAGAGACATGAGGCCCTGTCTAGAGGCCATTGGACCATGTGAGGGTGCATCAGAAGGGGCGCCAAGAGATGCTGGGTTGGAGAAAGTGGGTGGGTCCAAGCAGGGCCTTTCCCCCAGGCCGGCCTTAACCTCTCCTGTACTGCGATGTGACTGTGGAGGACACACGGATGGCTTCTCTGCGGGTCTCATAGGTTCTCGGCTCTCGGGCATGGTGCCTGAGACGCCTGGGCTGCTTGTTCTGAGAGACTTCGAACATCCATGTTGAGGGTCCTTTACCAGGACTGGCCCTGGATTTTTTACCTTGTTGAAGTTGTTGCAGCGCTTCCAGGGAAGGGGGGAAAGGGGTGTGTGGCGTCCTCTTAATGGGGAGGACTGTATTTCTCTTTAATTGTATATTTTGTGTTTACAAAATAGGTAGTTCCAGCTGCCATCAGGAATTTTAATAGATTCCAAATCCCCTCTTTGCTTCTGGTGTTGGTATTGTGACCCAGGGTCTAGACTTTCAAGGATCTATGTGGTCCTGAGGAATGATTGATATGAGTTCTGGGATATATTTAAATAAAATAGGATTTATTGAAAGAGGAACAAAATAAGAAGTTGGTTATTATGTAACTGGCTCGGAATGAGGTTCTTGTAAATATATTTGTCGACTGTATCACACACACTGTCAGTTTTAGTCCTTAAGATTCCACCCTGACAGGGAATCTCTCAGGCGACCACACAGTTTAATCTCTTGGTAAATTTAACTTCTTTTTAAAGTTTCACTATTGAAGATATATGCTGCTCTCTCTCTCAGATCCCACACAGAACTAACATATCCTCACTGACTGAACACCAACTGAACAATTCCAACTGATTTCTAACTAACTTTTATAACTGACTTTTCATAACTGACTCACCCACACCGATTCACTCAAAAACCCAACTCCTCCCACTCTCTGCCATCCAGCAGTCATACTCCACATGTCTCTCTCAATCATTCTACTCTGCATTCACTGCACTGCAACCAAGCAATTAAAGAGACACACACACTCTAACACAAGGAATCTTCACAGGGGGGAACGGGGTAAAATGATCTTCCCACGGAGTCTCATGACTCTGACAGCATTCCCTAATGCTCTGGAGCATTTTAGGTTTCCAAGTGGATTCTCTGGTGGGAGCTTGGAACATGAAGCTCCTAGAGATTATTGAGAAGGTTACCCCTCACAGAACGCTCCTGCCCTTAAGACAGAACCCAGCCCTGCAATTTACTACAGAAAAGAGAGACCTGAAAAGGACCAATAGATGTAATGCAGGGCCAACAGAGTAATTAACTCATGGAATTCTCTGCAATGGGAAGTAGTGGTGGATACAAGAATAGACAGCTTCAAGAGGGCATTAGATAAACACACGGAGCAGAGGTCTGTCAGTAGCTGTTAGCCACAAGGTGGAGATGGAACACACTGTCTGGGGAATTGATGTTGTGTATTCTTGGTGTCTTGGGGGCGGTTACAGCAGCAGGGCTTCTGAAATCCTGGCCCCACTGGTGGACCTCCTGATCCTATCTCTATCTGTTGTTGGACGGCCAGTCAGACTCTAGTCCGGGAGATCTGGAACTGCACTGAAAGCCATGGCTCGTTGGCTTAGACAGAACCGATTGAAATTGAATCCGCCGAAGACGGAGGTCCTGTGCCTGAGTCGGAGCGGTCCAAGGTTCGGGATCCCACTCCCGACCTTCGATGCGCCGGAGTTTGGGAGTCCTCCTGGATACCTCCCTAACGATGGAGGCCCAGGTAGCAGCCACTGCAAAGTCGGCCTTTTACCGCCTACAGCTGATTAAGCAGTTGGTTCCCTTCCTTGAACGCAATGACCTGGCGACAGTGATCCACGCATTGGTCACCTCAGGATTGGATTACTGTAGTGCTCTCTACATGGGGCTGCCCTTGGCCCAAATCCAGAAGCTGCAGCTGGTGCAAAACGCAGCGGCGAGGCTGTTGTGTCTTCCTATGCTGGAACACATCCAGCCCCCCCTAAAAACCTTGCCCTGCCTGCCTATAGCAGACCAGATATGGTTCAAGGTGCTGGTTCTTACCTTTAAAGCCCTATATGGCCAGGGATCTGCTTACCTAAGGGACTGCCTTTCCCTGCATGTACCCCAGTGAGCACTAAGATCGGGCTCCCCAAATCGCTCGGTTCTTCCGGGGCCTAAAGAGGCCAGGTTGGTCACAACGAGGGCCAGGGCCTTCTCTGTGGCAGCCCCTCACGAGTGGAACGAGCTCCCCGAAGACATCAGGGCCCTGCGGGACCTCTTACAGTTCCGCAGGGCCTGCAAAACGGAGCTCTTCCGCCAGGCTTTTAAGTAGGGTGCCGCCTCGATCACATGACCCTGGCCTGCAGGGATATAGTCAGGTTGGCCTGGAAGAGTCAAACTGGTGCACACAGAGTCGAATTCTAATTTTCTGCTCTTTTTTCATGGTGAAAAGGACCAGTGACTGCCAAACCCGACCTGATCTCCTGGCTGGAAGGAGAAGAAGAGCTGTTCTTCCTGTTCTCGGCTGAAGAGGAAAGACTGGCAGGTCTGTGTTGGGATGGGGCTTTGCTTGTGCTTTCTTCCTAGGGCTGGTGGGTTTCTTGTGTGACCTTCTTTATCCTAAGAGCTGGTTTTCCTCCAAAGAGCTGGAGTGAGTTGTGATTGGTGAAAAGGTGCCTGTGGAGGTTGAGGGGCAAAGAATAAAGCAACCTATAGCTTGCATCACTGCCTGAGGAGAAACTCCCTGGCTTGTGGATTCGTTTTTGAGAAGCCCCTCTGAACTCCTGATCCTTCTGTAACAGTATAAGACCAGATTACTTCAGGTGGAGTGATGACCTTACTTCTCACCAACGAACACAACGAGGGGAGAAACCATATAAATTCCTGAAATGCTTCAAGCGGAGTGGAAGCCTTATGCATCACTGGAGAATTCACACAGGGGAGAAACCATATCTATACCTCAAATGTGAGGAAAGCTTCAAGCAGAGTGGAAGCCTTATGTATCATCAGAGAACTCACACAGGGGAGAAACTGTATAAATGCCTTGAATGTGGAAAAAGCTTCAAGCAGAGTGGAAGCCTTAGGTATCATCAGAGAATTCACACTGGGGAGAAACCATATAAATGCTGGGAGTGTGGAAACTGCTTTACGAGCAAAAAAACCCTTACATGCCATCAAACAATTCATACAGGGGAGAAACCATATAAATGCCTGGAGTGTGGGAAAAGCTTTCGACAGAAGACTATATTAACTGTCCATCAAAGAATCCACACAGGTGAGAACCGATATAAATGCCTGGAGTGTGGGAAAAGCTTTCGACAGAAGACTATATTAACTGTCCATCAAAGAATCCACACAGGTGAGAACCGATATAAATGCCTGGAGTGTGGAAACTGCTTTGCTAGCAAACAAAACCTTACTTACCATGAAAGAAGTCATACCGGAGAGAAACCATATAAATGTCTGCAGTGTGAAAAAAGCTTTACACGGAAGGAAGCGCTAACTTTCCATCAAAGAATTCACACAGGGGAGAAACCATATAAATGTCTTGAGTGTGGAAAAAGCTTTCGACAGAAGAAGATATTAAATTTCCATCAAAGATTTCACACAGGTGAAAACCCATTTAAATGCCTGAAGTGTGGAAACTCCTTTGCTAGCAAACAAAGCCTTACTTACCATGAAAGAATACATACAGGGGAGAAACCATATAAATGCCTGGAGTGTGGAAACTGCTTTATTAGCAAACAAAGCCTTACTTACCATGAAAGAATACATACAGGGGAGAAACCATATAAATGTCAGAAGTGTGGGAAAAGCTTTCGGCAGAAGAAGATATTAACTGTCCATGAAAGAATCCACATAGATGAGAGCCCATATAAATGCCTGGAGTGTGGAAACTGCTTTACTAACAAACAAAGCCTTACTCACCATCAAAGAATTCATACAGGGGAGAAACCCTATAAATGCCTGGAGTGTGGAAAGTCCTTTAGTAGCAAAGGAGGCCTTACTTACCATGAAAGAATACATACAGGGGAGAAACCCTATAAATGCCTGGAGTGTGGAAAGTCCTTTAGTAGCAAAGGAGGCCTTACTTACCATGAAAGAATACATACAGGGGAGAAACCCTATAAATGCCTGGAGTGTGGAAAGTCCTTTAGTAGCAAAGGAGGCCTTACTTACCATGAAAGAATACATACAGGGGAGAAACCCTATAAATGCCTGGAGTGTGGAAAGTCCTTTAGTAGCAAAGGAGGCCTTACTTACCATGAAAGAATACATACAGGGGAGAAACCCTATAAATGCCTGGAGTGTGGAAAGTACTTCAGTAGCAAAGGAGGCCTCACTCACCACGAAAGAATTCATACAGGGGAGAAACCATACACATCCATGGTATGGCAACAGTTTTCCACGGAAGGAGACACTAACTTAGCAAACTGCGGAGTAAGCGTAGAAATGCCTGGAGTGTGGGAAGAAAAGGAGACTGTAAAATTAGAAACCAACCTTATTTCCATCATTAAAATACTGTCTTAAACCATTCTGTTTCAGTAGAAAAGAGGAAGAGTCCAGTCTAGACATCTGAAGAAGTGAGCTGTGACTCATGAATGCTCATCTCCTGCCACAAATTTAGTTAGTCTTTAAGGTGCTACCAGGCTCTTGCTCTTTTATACTGTGACATTAACACAGCTATCTATTGCATTCTGTTTCACACCTTTTGTGGAATGCTAGAACTGTAGGTCTTCCTCAACTTGTTGGGCAGGACATTCCCCCAAGTGGGAGCCACATAAGTGAATTCTTCTGCATGTGTTGCTCTCCATCTCACCCATTATTGTTACACAGATGAGCAAAGTAGCAGCACTAAATCTTATTGAGAGAAGCAGAGCTTAAGCCCTGAATGACTTTGTCAGTGATATTGACATAAACTGAAAAACTGTACAATCTCCAAAGAAGCAACTCACTTATGTGTCAGAGACATTCTGTTCCTTACCCCCAAATAATCAAGCTGCAACTTTCTGTACCAGTTAGAGATTCTGACTTCATGGGTGGACCCATGTAGAGTGCATTGCTGTAGATTGTCTGCCTGGTTACTGTGGCTTTAACTTTCATTGTGTGTATCGATTCTATTCTGAGCATTCCCTGTATTCTGAGGAGAATCAAATGTTGTGCTTCGATAAAATGTATATGATGTAGTTAAATAGCGTTGAACTGGATGTTTTCTCTTACGTCCTTACTTTCTTCCCCCATCTTTCAATATAGAGATATCTGGGAATTCCAGCGTGAACCTTTCTCTGCTTAGCATTCAAAAGGAACTGCGTAAAAATACATAAGGGATAAGATTGCAGATGTGGGACAACACAAGTCAGCTCCAGTGTTCCCTCTAAGCTGAGTTAGTGTGAGCTAGCTTACGGTTTTTTTAGCCTTTGGCTCACATCTTTTTGTCTTAGCTCAGGAAGGATGGCTCCAGAGCAAACTAATTTATGCAGCAGCCAAATCGCTTGCTCACAACTTTAATGCCAGTAGCTCACAAAGAAGAATTTTTGCTCACAAGACTCCACAGCTTAGAGGGAGCATTTGTCAACTCCTCCACCGAACATGGCTGGTCTCCTTTCACAATCCTTAGAGCAGGGATGTCGAACTCATTTGTTATGAGGGCCGGATCTGACATAAGTGAGACCTTGTTGGGCTGGGCCATGTGTGTCATAAAATTTAATGCCAGGTAGCGGAGATATAAACTTTATAAAGGACACAAACACAAAGGGTGTTTGTTTTTACTTAAAATGAAAACATGCTTAAAACATTAGCACTTGTAATATTTCGTTTATTTAACAATGTCTGATAACGGACACCTCTTGCTCTGACTTACTGCATCAAATGTGTGTGCTGTTGCAATCTTGAGTATGCTGTTAGGGTTTGTGTGTGTAAGCTGCAAACCTACAATGACGCTGTAGCAGCAGAACTGGAAGAAGAAACAGAAGACAGCCAGTGGGCCTGATAGAAGCCATCCGGGGGCCTGATGTGGCCCCCGGGCCGCATGTTTGACACCCCTGCTTTAGAGTGTGGTCCTGCAGGAATGATTTCATTAAACCAGGCCAAGGCATATCCCCTGGTACCTACTTCTGTCTCCAAATGCCTCAACAGGATGGCATCATCTACCGTATCCAGGCAGATCTAGGAGGAGCGATGAAGAAGCATAGTACTTTCCCTCCACCACCATGTCTCATGTGGTGCAGTAACTGGGACTGTGTCGTGCAGAGCTGAATTCCACCCCACCTCATCCACAAAACCTGTTGCTGTCTGAAGTCAGCCCAGAGGCAAGCAAGATGCAGCTCACAGAGATAGAACATTTACTAGATAAGCCTCCACCAAAAAGAGGCCTCATAGCAAAGCTCTACAAAGCTATTACTTCTTCACAAAACACTAGACCTCATAACTACCAATTAACATGGAATGCAGATCTCAAATCAATACTATCTGAGGAACAATGGGAAGAAATATGGCGAACACAGTCAAAAATTACCAAAACACTAGGATTACAAGAGACAAATCTTAAGATACTTACCAGATGGTACCTTACACCAACGAGATTATCCCACATTATCCCCTCGGCATCACCGCTCTGCTGGAAAGGTTGTGGCGAGAAGGCTGATTTTCTCTATAGCTGGTGGTCCTGCAAAGAAATACAGAAATACTGGAACAAAATTGTTCTCCAAATCAAACGAATAACAAACACCGACTTACCTTTAACACCGGAACTAATGCTTCTGCACCTTTGGCCACAAATTCGTCCCCCTGAATGTACTCAACACTTAGTTAACTTATTAGTGTTAGCAGCAAAAATGACCATAGCAAAAAATTGGAAAAATAAAAACTCACCAACATTATCGCAATGGATCAATAAGGTGTGGGACATCTTCATGCTGGAGAATCTCTCAATCTACGACTCAACAACTAAAAACGAATGTGAATTCCATAACCCACTCAGTATTTGGAGTCCCATCCTACAAAATATAACTTTAACACAATTTGATTGGTCAGACATAGCCAACGCAAAATTTAAAATAATGCTGTTTAACTAAGGATCATTTTATATCTGACTCCTCATAATCAGACCTGTAAAAGAAAAGTAATAAAATTTAGTTAAGTTTAGAGGAAGCATTTGTTATACACCTAACCTGTGTTTTAGTTTGTTTATGTATTGCTGGTTTACTTATTTTGGTAATATATTATAATGTATTGTTTTGTAAAAATCTCAATTAAAAAATATTGGGGGAAAAAAAAAGTCTGAAGTCAGCCCAGCTATGGCTCCGGTCACACGGGCCGGAAAATGTGGGGAGGAAGCGTGGCTGTTTGCCCCGGAGCAAAATAATGCGCAGTTGTGCAATCAGAGGTCCCGTTGAGGTTCCGTGGTTAGGGGGGAGGTGCTGATCACACGACCATCCTGCGGCGCAGCAAAGAAGCGGCGCGGCGCGATCACAGCAGCAACGCTAGGCGGCTGCTGCTGTGGCAAACGGGGTTGTGTATTTTTAAAAAACCGCAGTGTGCGCATGTGCCGTTGGGTGCTTTTTGGGACGGGACATGGGCGGGCGCCGGATGCCACGAACTACCACCGGAAACGCGATCAGACGCCCGCCCTTGCCCCGTGGTTTCCAGAAACTAGTACCTCGGAGGTACTCATTTTTTACAGCGCATCTTCAGCGGTAAGCCTCAGGTTAGCCACAGGAGCTCTACGCTTCCCAGATGTTGTGGTGAGATTGCGCCCGGAAAATCTGCCTATCCTCCGTCTGTGTAGCGTGGCTAATGCTCCGTGTGACCGCAGCCTATGTTCAGCAATCATATTTCTTTGTCCCCTGTCTTCTCTGCCTTTGCATAAAAGCTGTTGGTTTGAATGTTGTTCAGGCTTTGAACGGGGCATCCCTAGATCTCATAGAATGGGTGTCAGACCCCGGTCCAGTTACACTCAATAACTCTCGCTTTGGCAGTGATAAGTTTATTAGAGCATATGCAAGATCCAAAAGTCACCGTGTCAGAACGGAAGCCTTTTGGTTGGTACAATCGTATTATAGAAAAGCAAACAGGTCCCATCCAGCCCCCAAGCGTATGTCACATCCGCGCGTCGCCTAATTGCCATGCCAACCAGGAGAGATACACGTCCCGGTAATCTAGAGTCCGAGATGGTACAAGAATGTGTTCGAGGCCACTTCCCCTGGGAAAGGGAGAGGGGAGGAGAAGGGAATAGCTTGTGGGAAAGTCTCTGGTGAGAAAGTTACATCTTCTAAAAGCAAAGGTCACTCACTCCCACACCCCCCCCCCAACCATCATCGCAACCGAAGCAAGCATAGCATAGCAAGGTTTGACAATGGGAGGGCCCATGGCTCAGACGTGGAGCATCTGGAAGGTCCCAAGTTCAATCCATGGCAGTCTCCGCCAATGCTCCCTCTAAGCCGTGGAGTCTTGTGAGCAAAAATTCTACTTTGTGAGCTACTGGCATTAAAGTTGTGAGCGAGCGATTTGGCTACTGCATAAATTAGTTTGCTCTGGAGCCATCCTTCCTGAGCTAAGACAAAAATGTGTGAGCTGGAGGCTAAAAAACTGTGAGCTAGCTCACACTAACTCAGAGGGAACACTCCACTGGAAAGGATCCTGTAGCAGGTGATGTGAAAGACCGCAACCTGAGACCCTGGAGAGCCACTGTCAATAAACTTATGAAATCCCTCCTCCTGGGCCTGTCCTTCCATCTCCGTCTTCCTTGAGTTGTGTTACATGAAGGATTACTACAAATGTTATTTTTTAATGGGGAAGAACCGAATCGCTGTTCTCCTTTGAAGATGCAGAGAGTTATACCGGGTGTCCAGAAGATCGGCATCCAAACGAGGCACGACAGGATGAGGAAATGGCCAGGGAAGAGTCTGGCCAGCTCCCTTGGCGTTTATTTTTCTAGATGGTTAGCCATAACAATATAATAGAAGCCAATGTTGGATCTTTTGTGAGAGAGGGTGGGAGGCAAGAGGCAGGAAGCAATGAGCCACTGAGAGCTGGGAAAAGGCAAGCTAGGGTGCAGCTGCAGGAGCAGCCCTGGGAAAGGAAGCAGGAGAGTCAAGTTGTTTGAGGAGCTGGTTTTGAGCCCTTTGCGGGCCAGATCCAGCCTGCGGGCTGCATGTTTGACACCCCTGGCTTAAACGATCTCTCTGTCTGAAGGCATGCAGGAACTCCATTTGGATCAGCGGTTATCAGGAGAGGGGCTGAAACCATTCCTGTCCCTCTCCGGATTGGGTGAGTACATTGTTCTCAACCAAGGACTGGGACACCCTATTGACGGCCTCAAGGCTTTTCCCACAACAAAGCACAGCCCCCCCCCCCCCCCATCCTTACCCCAGGCAGGGGTACACAACCCCCGGCCG